GGAACATTAGATGGTGCTGCTATAGTTTTGATTACAGCTGGTGGGAACATTAGATGGTGCTGCTATAGTTTTGATTACAGCTGGTGGGAACATTAGATGGTGCTGCTATAGTTTTGATTACAGCTGGTGGGAACATTAGATGGTGCTGCTATAGTTTTGATTACAGCACTATCTAGTAAGCTTGGGAAAACTATACCGCTAAATAGCTAACTTCATAAATTATAACCAGTTCCTACTTAACTAGTACTTACCAGCAGCTGAAATTACAGGAGAAGCAATTAAGCTCTGAATGAGTAGAAATGCTCGAGTAGGTACTGCTGTGGGACATAACTGAGCAACCTCCCCGAGAGTGTACAGATGTCGAACAACTTGTTCCTCCGTGGCTGCTTCTGTTTTAACATTGTCTTCCAGTATAATTGATGATAGGTAAACATCACAAAGCTACAGGTAAAACAAGACAGTATTTACATGTTGTAAATATTTTACATTATACTATCTTAAAATTTTAATACAAAAGTTATGAAGAACAACATTCAATCGAGGTTTTTATGTAATACTTTTTTTAAAGTGTAATCTGCTTATAGTTATTCTCATTATCCATATACAACAGTAAAGAATCTCATAACTTTCATAGAGAAAAATAAATGAATTTAATAAATAATCCCATGCAACTAATTTTAAACATTAAATGTTTCTAGTAACTGTATTTAATTTAACACTTGCATCATAACTGATTGCGACTTTCCTGAGAAAATTACAATATCTTGGTAAAACATTTATAATGATTTGGAAAACAACAAAACATGGAAGTCCTAATAACTCCATTGTACACAATTCTAACGAACTGAAGAACATAATACACATGATTCTAAAGAACAACATGAGGCATGATTCAAGCAGATTGAACAATATAATACACATGATTCTAAAGTACAACATGAGGCATGATTCTAGCAGACTGAACAATATAATACACATGATTCTAAAGTATAATATGAGCATGATTCTAGCAAGACTGAACAACATAATACACATGATTCTAAAGTACAACATGAGGCATGATTCTAGCAGACTGAACAACATAATACACATGATTCTAAAGTACAACATGAGGCATGATTCTAGCAGACTGAACAATATAATACACATGATTCTAAAGTATAATATGAGCATGATTCTAGCAGACTGAACAACATAAAACACATGATTCTAAAGTATAATATGAGCATTATTCTAGCAGACGGAACAACATAAAACACA